TAACACTTTCATTGCACTTTTTTGTTTTCAGAGTGTTGCTTTATAGTATACTCTAAGGTAAATTGGTAATAAGTAAACTTAACATTCATTTAAAACAAATTCTGAATAGTTGCCTTGTGTAACTTGTTTTTCTAAGTCATGAATTTTATAAAATTATTATATAATATAATATTATATTATATATTGTCATCCCTGCCTCCTGCCTCGAGATTTTTTACACCTTTCCATGATCAAATCATCTTTTTTTGCACTAAATAAAGGTCCAGCGTAATTGACCAAAACATCAGTCATAAAATATCCTAATCAAAAACAAGTCCTGAAGAGGCTGAATCTAACATTTTAATTATGAACCCTGAATGCAACTTAAAAGTAAACAGCTGTCATTTAATATAAATAGACCTATTCTCTGAATAATTAAATAACAAAAGACCACTTAATATTGAATTCTTTAAAATGATCATTGACTTTACTAACATAAAATACTAATAACTGTCAAATAGGTCAATATCCAAATAATGTAGAAGATAGATATTAGAAATACATGTACATGTACGTGTGAGACAGTTTTAGAAAGCTTTGACTAAATGTTTAATAACAAGTTTAATGGAGGAAGGCATGCAATTACAATTAGGAATTGTATGAGATTTTTTCCAGGCCTAGCCTGGTTCTGATATTTTTGGACCTCTTCTATTTTTTGTACCAGACCCTTATAATAAAAGTAATGTAACTTTGAGATTGTATAATATTTTCCACAAAAATTTCGAATAGAATAGAACAGAATTTTATTGAACAAATAACATTGCAGCTGCAAGGATAAACTTGAGAGCTGAATTGCGTAATTATAATAAAATACAAAGGAATATAAGAAATACTATAATGTACATAAAAATATATATTATGATATATAATTAAGAAATATAAAACGGCGCGTGTGTCTCTGTCCTCTGATATAAACAAGGTGGGAGTTCAAAAAACACGAGAGAAGCAAGCTTAGGAACACGAGCGTAGTAAGTGCTTCTCTTGCTTCTCGAGTGTTTTTCAACTCCCACCGTGTTTATACCAGAGGACAGAGGTCACACAAGCGGCCGTTTTATATTTCTTTTATAAAATTTTTCGAGCGAAAAGAAAATTTTGCCGGTAAGCCGTGTCTCTGTCCTCTGATATAAACATGGTCGTCAGCCAATCAGAGCATGATTTATATATCAAAACTTTTATAAATACTAATATAATGCACGCGATAAAAGACAGATAAATATTATGTATAATAGGTATAAAGGGAAATGGTGATAAAAGATTTGTAAAAAATGGTCCTTGTTACTATTTAAGATCGTATTTAACAGAGCTAAGGACTGAATTTTGGCTTTGATCATCTTTTAAAGTGAGTACATTTAGTAGATGGTAGACATTGTTTTTTAACAACTAATATGCTAATTAGTGGCAGCATTAGGAAATTTGTCAATTTGGTCTGATTATTATTTGGTGAATGTTCTGGTTATAGGACAGGCTTTAAAAGCATTTGAATTACTCAAGATTTCAAATGATAAACAATTGAAAAATAATGTATTTCAATCAAAGAGTACTTTTATCCATCTACAGCCACAATGGCACATGTAGAGTAAGCATGGAAATTTCAGCTATGCAAGCCAAACGTACGCGGAATTATTGCCAAATAAAAGTACATACTTTAAAAAAAGATATTTAGAAAATATATTTCAAAATTATGATTGAATAAATTCTATGTGTCTTCTGTAGATGATACCAAGGGAAAATGACAGCTGGCAAATTGTTATCTTAACATTAAGTGCTGCAATGTATTAAGGATAAATGGAAAATACAAGCAAACATGACAATGATAAAGAAATGAAATATTTATATATAGTCATGTTGTCTTTTATATTATTCCAGGTTAAGATGAATTTATTACATGTAATTATGAATAGGTCTTGACTGCTCATTCAGTAAATATATCAACCCCCAGAATTAATTAAAAATAGATGTCTTGAAAGCCTTAATTAAGGTATAAAAGGTGACGGGTGCTGCTGTTAAGCCGAAAATTAATCAAAACATGAACTTTTGGGAAGAGACTTTTCATCTATAACTGAAAGTTGTTTGCATTTGGGCGACAGGGATGAATAAAAGTCTGAATTAAAAGTAAACAATGTCAGAACATCAGCTGTTCCATAAAACACACTACTGGACTGACATTTGTAACTCAGAAAAAAAAAACAATTTGATACAGTAAAAATTAGCTAAATACAAATAACTAAAGTGAGCTAAAGAATATTTTGATGTACTTTTTTGTAGTTTTGTTGCATATTAATTATTTTTTTAACAAAGTATATCAAAATCATAGATCTATGACTGCATCAAAACACTGTTGTTGCAAAGCAACTGACTAAATGCAAAATGTAGGATAGCAGAAAAAAAGTCAAGTTTTGTTGGGATTCATCATTTATTTACAGGGCAGCATATAACTTAATGTGATATTTTTTTTTGTTCTGTGAAAGTCAAAGTTGTAATGAATGATTTCCCATCACTCTCGTTGGTCAGCCACATTTTGATATTTTAAGTGTCCAATTTAGGTTTTGAGATGACTTCTCATCAAATTGTAAGCTTAAATCTGAGATTAAATGCAAGTTGACTATTACAGTATATTGAATCACATCATTCAACATTTTATTATCAAAAATCTTGAGACAATAATGATATTTTTAACAATCATTAAATTATTGTCGTTTTGGATTAATAAGTTATTTTTGATATCGGCGTTTTGATCTAACATAGGTGCCAGTATAGCCAACAATTTACACAAGTGACCACTGCCACGCCATGAGAATGAATGGGAATTTGTATATAAACATGCTTACGAATAACAAAAGGCGTTTTATTTTGAAAAATAAATCATAAAAAACAGTTATATTGATTGGCAATAAAATCTTTTACAAAAGATTGTCCTGAGCACAGAGGTTTGTAAATCAAGCTTATAAGAAATATGATAAACTTTGGGCAAAAATAAATCTTTTTAGTGAAAATTGCAAATCTCTTGCGTTCCAACATCATACAGTTATTTAGTATCTTTAAGCCTAGCTTAGAAATATCACTACAGCTTGCTCAATTATCTTACTGCAGGTGAGGTGCAGGGACATTATTTTGAATGAGTTTTCTGAACATTGTATGATTATTATCTTCAATGGTTGAGCATTCTTTAAGCATGGCTTAAGAATATTATCCAAAACTCGCAGCGCTAAAGTTCAAAGCCTAGTATTGTCTTCACAAATTTATGTTCTTAAGATAAATAAATATTATCATTACCTCCCTGGCGGTCCGCTAGAAGTCCATGAGCTACAGAAATAAAACGTTCAATGTTAGTAAAATAAGGGTAACTAACGTATACAAGATGTCTTCCCGACGAAGACTCATAGCAAACTAGCTATAGCAAACCATACCAAACTAAACCTTTTTATCAAATAAATACCTGTCTCCGAATCCATAAGACATACTGCAGCTTAGACTTTGGTTAAACTTTAAAATTCAAGGGTTAAAACGGATAAAAATTCGGTTAAAACACAATTTCAACCCAAAATTATTTGGAATCGCTTACAGAAGCGACTTGGAAGTCCGATCGACGAACGCTCTGATTGGCTCATTTCGATCATGTGGTTTTGAAGCGCGCATGTAAAGCTGGGTCTAGCGATATAAAAATATATTTTCAAACATTTTGTATTATTTTGTAGGCCTTTGTAGTTAGATTATTACCTAATCTTTAGTTATAATGATGGTAAAAATATATTTTAATACTAGACAACTTGATTTCTGTTTGTGACCAATTTCTTATGTTTGACTGTTTGTTAAAATTTGACATAAAATCACAATGTTTACCCGGTTGCCATGGCAGCCGACTGTAAAAGCTTCCCAAGTAGAATAGTTTTGAGTAAATATGGGACAAAAAAGCAAAAGAAAAGAAGCAGAAAGCATTTAAATCATTGCAGGAGATGTTACACACGTCTCTGTTGTCATATAACGTTCGTTTTCGGGCGTCTTTGAGTCGCTTGAGATTAGTTCCGATATGACGTCACCACTATTGAATGACCAGGCAGTTTGCCGGATGTTCTTTATCAAAAGGGAATATTTCTAAACTGGTTGAGCTATCCTTCAATTAAAATAAGCAAGTAGACTTATAATTCTATGTACTTCCGAAGCTTAATGTTTTTTTKTTTTTTTTTTAAGTTTTGTACGACTTGTACGGGAAATGCAGGATTTTATTTTTCAATTCCTTTTCACTTCGCAAAGCGCTCTTTATTGCTGTTTTTTTCTGGCAGGATTCTTACTAGATCGCCTTTTATGATTTCAAAGGGAAAAGGTCTATCTTTTAGTAACAGTATATAAATATCGTGTCCGCGTGAAGGCGGGAAGAATTCTGGCTGCGCTCGTGTTTCCAGGTCTTCGAGGGCCTGGTGTTCTCAGGGGCGGCGGAGCCGGGGGGCCGGAGAGGCACGCACCCCCTTCTCCCCAAACAAACTATTTTGAGGGGGCCTGGCTCTCACATCACGGCATCGGTTTTACACATAAAACATAAATGAATATGCATTTGCAAACGTTGATGTGACGTCATCACTATAAGTCTATGATTGTCCCCCCCCCCTACCCTCCAAGTCAATTTGGCTCCGTCGCCCCTGCTTCTTGATGCTGATATTCAAGGAAATGAGCATGCATTACCATGACCGCTGCATATAAGATATCTATTCGTATAACTGTCATTATTTCAAATCTAAACGGTGCCCATGATCATGAAGTAAATGAATAGACTATTTTCCTTGGTAAGGGGGATGGGGGGGGGGGGGGGCAGGTAAGGGTGACTTTCTTTAACTTAGGGACTGCGCAATATTTATTAGGGGTTGATCGGAGAACCCAGAGGGAGGGGGGGGGGGAAGAAGAGGCAAAATCTAATTCTTATGTGCTGAAAGAGGGGAGCAACGTCTAAAATTAACTAGAACTTAAATTGGAAACTGAAAACTCAACGATGTCAGATTCTGTCAGTTTTGTCCAAATACTTATTGAAGTGGAAAACTTTCAAGAAAAGCGTGCCACGATTTGCGTCTACTCTTTACATTCCATATGGCGCTAACAATGACAAAAACAGACATTTAATTCGCGTTCGCTCACAACTCAGAATCAATTATCTCTTAGCTATTTCTGTACTAAGTGTTGGATGTTGTATGGAGGACAACAATGACTGTATATGCCACGGAAGACAAGGTGTTTTTTTGTCCTTAATACTGAATAATTTTTAATAAGCGTTGGGTTAATTGCCTGATAAAACACGCGCTCAACTGACAGATTTATATCTTTTATTCTTTTTTAATGATGACGACGCTCGTCATCCCATTTCAATTACGTTCCTTTCATTTTTAAACTATAGCTCCATTAACGCTGACAATGTCTACCGCACTCCATTGCTTATCAACATGCTCGCATGATGCAATGTAAAATCAATTTCAGATACATGTGAATTGACATTTATTTTTCCATTTCCAATCTCAATTGATAAGAAAAAGATTGAGTTCCTATGTGAAAGACATGGACATATTGAAACCGATAGTATTTACCTCAAAGGAGAATCGTTTAAAAATCCTATAGTTGGGCATTCCCACGAAACTGACAATCTAAATACGTTGAATGAAACCTTTTGAGCAGTCTATGATCTAGGATCGACTCCAGTTTTACACCCTACACCATGAATCCGTCATTTTTGATGTACTTATACATATATACTGATGTTAAAATTATTGTACAATAACACTTGGATGCCTATCGAATGATATACAAAATTTAAGTTGGAATTTTAAAACAAAAACTATGCGATGTGTATTCATTTAGCATACCGTCGGTTGCTGATGAGCGAAAACCAAAACATCAGCTGTGTTATATAAAATARATCACCCTCTGCCAATTGGCGAAGGCACGCAAGGTACTATGGGTACTGATGACATCTTCTACCTGTTTCTACTTAGTAAGACTCAGCAATTTAGCCGTTGTGGCAATGAATAATCATGWAACGAATTTTGTTATTAATTATATTATTAGGGACTGTGCAATAATTACCAGGATGGGGGGCGTAAAACCAGAGGGGGGGCATCACATAAAATTGATGCCAAGATAGGGGGGGTCTCAAAGTAAAATTACCTAATTAACAGAGGGGGGGCTTAAGTTTTATTTAAAATTTTCATTATTTTCTTTATCTTAAATTCAACGTAAATAACAACCATAACTGTAGAAAATGATCAACAAAAACAACTTGAAAATGCCAATTGATCATTTTTAATCAGGCTGCTAGCTAAAGTTTGTTAGGTTATTTTTGGTCATTTTGGAGGGGGTATATATAGCCCATGCATTTTCATCAAAAGTCGGTTATTTTTGGCTATTTTGGAGGGTTATAGGCCATGGCATTTTCCGACATATTTTATCGACATATTATAATGTGCTAAAAACAATAACTTGAAATCAGACTAATGAAATTTGGGGGTGTGAAGAGTTAATGGATAATAGATACTCATTGTCCAATAAAGATGAAGAATATAGTCGTTTTCATTTCACCGTGAAAGAGACACGCTATTTTTTGGTATAGAGCTTTTAATCTAATTATTTTCTTCATTTCTTATTATTTTTTCATGGTTGATATAAATCGTTAATCACAACTTTGGAACTTCAAGTGCAGATTTTTAAAACAACTAAACACATGCAAGGCAAATTAACTGACAGACAAGTATGCATGCATAAGTCATGTGACATGACATTGGCCAATCAGCCACGACGTAGGCAGAGAGCCTGTTTGTCAATCACGTGGTTATGACAGCACTTCTGGAAGTGAAAACTGTAAATGTATCTTCCAGCACAGCATCGGTACAGCCAGGTCGAGTACAACCTCAAACCACATCTAGCCCAAGGATGGCACTTGTAGCAATTGGCGATAGGAATACCATGGCAACATTGGTGTGTGTAAATGTTGTATGGACGAGATATCCAACCACGACGACAGCAGCCAATGAATCGAGGATTATACCTGGAACGTTAATTGAAAATTAACTRTAGCTATCGATCTTTTGATGTATTATACAGAATCTGAATGTATACTAGAGTAATCTTGATAAACAAGTAAACAAATGTATAGAAATTAGGTTATCTGAATAAACAAGGGCCCCTATGGTTTTCGACGCCATCTTGGCGAAAAGATAAAAAAGATGAATATCAAATAATTTTCGCGAAAACCAATTTCTGAAAGAATCATGAATTGTAAATGTTGTTACGGACAAAAAGGACCTTACTGGCTGGATTTCTTTGCCTCTAAATGAAGCGAGCGTGTATATTCGTATCGCCACGATGTGGCATTACAACTATTATCGCTATAATTTCAATCATGTAGTAACGTCACAAAGGAATCCTGAATGTACGTACCTATACCTGCCACAGCGATACACCGGACATCGCGAGGACCTGGACCTCAAAAATCCATAGCAGCATCGATGTGTGTAGGGATTGTACGTCACTGAAACCCTGYGTGGACGAAGTCGAGTGCAGTGAAACACGGGACACTTTCCCTTTGGACGAAGAAAGCGATTGAAACAACAACTGTGTGT